AAGCACTTAAAACAGTGTCTGGTACACGCTAAGTCCTATATAATCACTTTATTTTTATAAAAATATTATTTACTTGGAGAAAACAAGATATTTATATACATATATATGTAAATACAAAACAATTTCACTGATTTCACATGCAAGCAAGATTTTACTGAAGATTATCCAAAAACGACTGGAACACCACATCAACAGAGAACTACCAGATGTCCAGGCTGGTTTCAGAAGGGGTCGTGGTACTAGAGATATTGTAGCTGATGTTAGATGGATCTTGGTTGAAAGCAGGGAATACCAGGGGAATGTCTATCTGTGTTTCATTGACTATGCAAACGCATTTGACTGTGTAGATCATAACAAACTGTGGCTGACTTTAAGAAGAATGGGAATCCCAGAACACCTGATCGTTCTAATGCGACACTTATACTTGGACCAGGAGGCAGTCGTCAGAACAGAGCAAGGGAACACTGCATGGTTCAAAATTGGGAAGGGCGTACGCCAGGGATGCATCCTCTCTCCATACCTTTTCAACCTATATGCAGAACAGATTATCCGGGAGGCTGGGGCTCTATGAGGAGAAATATGGGGTCAAGATTGATGGACGATTTATCAACAATCTGCGTTATGCGGATGACACAACCCTGCTTGCTGAAACTGAGGAGGACCTGAAGCGCCTGCTGCAGAGTGTCAAGGACTGCAGCCTACAATATGGATTGAGGCTCAATGTCAAGAAGACAAAGATTCTCACCACTGGACCAATTGGCAGCATCAGGATGGATGGTGAAGAGACTGAGATTGTACACAGCTTTAGTTTGCTTGGCTCCATAGTCAACAGTCTTGGCACCAGCAGCCAGGAAATTAAAAGGCGCATTGCCGTGGGAAAGTCTGCTTTTAGGGACCTCTCCAAAGTGCTGAAGAGCAATGGTATCTCTTTGGAGACTAAGGTGCATCTGATACAGGCCCTGGTCTTCGCAATCACCTGTTATGCATCAGAGAGTTGGACAATGACCAAGGACGATAGAAGAATTGATGCCTTTGAGCTGTGGTGCTGGAGAAGAGTAATGAGAATACCATGGACTGCTAGGAAAACAAACAGATTTGTCCTGGAAAGGGTTAAACCGGGTGGTTCCTTGGAGGCAAGGATTCTGAGGCTCCGTCTAACATACTTTGGACATGTTGTGAGAAGAGACCGGTCCTTGGAGAGGGACATCATGTTTGGGAGGGTAGAGGGACAGCGCAGGAGAGGAAGGCCCCCTGTGAGGTGGACTGATTTAGTGACTGGGATAATTGGGATGGGAGTGTCAGAAACAGTGCGATTGGCACAGGACAGAGTGGAGTTTAGGGCTGTTGTTGTACATAGGGTCACTATGGGTCGCAGGCGACTCGACGGCACATAACAACAACAACAAACAAATGTAAATACAGCAAGGCAACCTGTCAATTCCTTGGCATCATAGATTCACAGATTGAATGATGTCCTCCCCCCCAAAAATACAAGTCCATTTAGTTAGGCTGCATGATTAGTAGTTGTCAGTCATTGCAATGGTATAGTCATTCCACATTATGTGGTAAGCCTACTACTTACCAGCAAATTAGGGGTAGCTTAATACCATTAAGTCTGTAATGTACCACCATTATTAGTCTGGTGACATTGCTAACTTGATATAAGGGAATGTACCCTGGATGTGGCCTGCATCATCCTTTATCTCACAAGACACAGAAGGAAACCAAATCGCGTAGACACAAGGAGGGACCACAGTATCACTAAGCACAAAGAGCTGGGAATAGAGCATGTCCTCTGAATCTGTGCTCCCTAATCTTGGCGCCCCACAGATTCTGAGGAAGACTGCTGCCAGCACACCTGAAGATCTCCTAGCCCACAGGTTTTGCAAGAACATGAGTCTTCTGCTAAGCCAATGTAAGAGAAATTCTCCTACAGCTGCCACGCTGAATTTGGACTTCTGCCAAGTGAAATAATTTGTTAAAGCCATCCGCTTGCAGTATTTCTGTTTCAGCAGCACTAGGTAACTAAGATTTGTGTCTAAATAACATGAAGTCCTTCAGGTAGCCCTGGCACTATAGTGGCTTATGTACTGCAATGCTCACCAAGAGGTTGGTAACAGGTTGGAGTGCCCCAGGCACCCCACGGGAGGATGTGGCAGATTGTTCCTGTTGAGATTTACAGCCTCAAAAATCCATTGGAGATTCTCTAGAAGGCAGAACTGACCCTATGGCAGCAGAAGCTGCAAGCTCAGCCCTTAATGCCAGATGTGAACGTTTAAATGGTTAAGCACTGTTCCACTCAATCAAACAGACCTTTAAAGTTATCATTCAAAAACAAATCCTTGACCTTTTACCTCTCAATTTAGGAATTTTCCACACATACATGACCTAGTGCTAAGGAGCTGTACTGCCAACCCAAAGGCACAAGGTTCAAATCCACTGGCTGCTCCATTGGAAAAGGATGGGTAATCTCCTCCTATGTGATTCATTATCTCTTACAATCTGCTGGTAGGTCAACTAGGAGTCACTTCTGACTTGATGGCAATGAACAACTCTCTTCCTGTATTTGTTATCTCAAAAAAACAAAAAACAAAAAACCCACACCATCATTCATGTAATTACTCAGGACCAAAACTCTGGGGGTCATCCCTGACACTTTGCACATCTAATCTTTCAACAGACCCTGTCAACTTAACATTCATTCTATGCCCAACCACTCTTCACTTTAGATAAGTCATCACTTGCGTTTTCAGCAGCATCATATCTGGATGAGAGGGTTAAAGAGCTAAAGACACAGATTTTGGAGTTATCTGTATACTTCAGGAAGAAGGTGAAATTACTCAAGGAGAATGTATAGAACGGTATAAGAGAAGATCGTCGGCCAAAACTCAGATCAGTACATGTCATTTTGTTGGAAGACGGTGTCAAAGGACTTGCCCTGAGAGACTAACCTTCTTTATCCAGAGAATGAGGTGAAAACTTTAGAGTGATACCACACGACACAGGAAAGGAGCATTTAAAAAAAAAAATAAGCAAGAGTCAAAAGTGTCACCTGTTTCCTAAGGGACAGTTTGCATAAGAAAATTTTTCTGGTAGCCAAAGCAGTCTTTTTAAAACTTAACTGGTCATTTCACACTCCACCCCTCAAACTTCAAAGAAGTGGTTTCTGATGACTCTTAAAATGAAATTAAAATTCTGATACACCATGTCCTCTTATTCTTCCTGTTAATATTGTCTAGCCCAGGGCTTCCTCAGATAGTGAGGGGTTTTTTCCAATTCTCTTTTCTAAGCCTTTATTATACGTCAGGACTAACTGAAAGACCATGAGTCTCTTGGAGTTCTAATCTCCCAGTGCTCCTCGAAAAAAAAAAAAGATGGGCAGTCTTTAGGATTTTCCCTTTAAGATTTACATTCTCAGAAACCCCAAAGAGGGTCAGATAGAAGTTGGAATCAACTTGGTTGTTACCATTGTTGTTATGTGCCATCAATTCATCTGCAACTCATAGTGACCCTATGTACAACAACTCTAACCTCTGCTTATCCTGAGCCAATTTTATCATCTTTGACACATCTACTCCCATTACCCCTGACACTGACTCAATCTATCTCATCCAGGGTCTTCCTATTTTGCGCCGTCCCTCCACATTTCCAAGCATGATGTCCCTAAGGACTGATCCCTCATGGTAACATGCCCAAAGTATGTCAGACAAAGATACAGAATCCTTACTTCCAAGATGCAGCCTGGTTTCATCCTCTCCAGGAAGAACCTGTTTATTCACTTAACAGTCCAGGTATGGTCAAGACTCTTCTCCAGCACTACAATTCAAAGGCGTAGAGTCTTCCTCTATCATCCTTAGTCATTGTCCAGCTCTCTGATGCATATCAAGTAATTATGAAGACCATGGCCAGGACCAGGTGCACCTTGGTCTCTAGACTGACATCGTTGTGCATCAGTACTCTGGAGAGGTCCCTGACAGCTGATTTCCCCAATGCAATTAGTCTTTTGATTTCCTGGCTGCTGGTACCAAGAATATTGATTGTTGGGCAAATCACACTGTATCTGTTAAACAATCTCAATCTCTTCACTGCCTATCATGGTGTTGCCAATTGGCAAGTGGTGAGAATTTCTGTTTTCTTGATGTTGAGCTTCAATCCATATTGAAGGATGCAGTCCTTGGCCTTCTGCAGATGATAAAACCTGAACCTGATGGTCGTGAGAGATTTTACCCATTTGGAACTTCTTAGGTAGAAAAGTTTCCTTGGAGAACTTTAACATGATGAACACAACTCTGTTTCAGGGTCTCTAACGGTAGTTTACCTGACTGGAATATTCTAACCAAACTAAAAAGTTTGCTTTCACTTCATGCGGATCTCTGATCAAGAATCTCTCTCAAGCAACTCTATTTAAAGCACAAAAACTCAATTTAAAGCACAGAAACCTGATGAGATCAGGTTCTCTGTGTCTCTAACATACACCATGATTATATTTCTTTCACAGAATTTCTGAGCAGCCTAATTCTACACAGTTGTATGTCATCTGCTTCTAACTTGTTCCCTCTAACATATAAATGACATGACACCAAGGACTTTGTCTATTATACTTCTAGTAATTATAGCACTAGCTATATTATTGTCATTGAACAGAAGACAATAATATTTACTGAATAACTGTATTAATCCCAGAAAGCAAGTTTTAGCTGTGGATGATCCACTTGCATAATTAATTGCAGATATAACTGACATTCACCACTATCTACCTATATTGAAAATGTCTATGATCACATTGATGAGTGTGTCATAAAAACAAACCAAAACAGATAATTTTGTAAAGATTACTGGAGTAGTACTCTAGTTATCGTAAACATAAATATATATACATATAATTTCTGAAAATTTCCATCAAGTTTTACATTAAGTTAACCAAGAGGGCAACTAAAATAATATTATCCTCTGACCCAAAGTTATTATCTGGAACAAAGAGGTGAAATGCCATCAATTACCTTCCTTTTTCTACTAGGATCAGGACATCCAATTTTTCTCCATTTTGAACCATCGTGCTGATTGCTGGAGAGGTAAGAGAAAAACATGCACATATTTTTAAAGAATTAGGGGTGAAGAATTACTTTACATAGTAAAAAAGTTGGTCTTCATCTCTGATACCAGGGAGGTAATTTCTAAACTTTGGGAATTTTGAAATATTGGATTCTTTTTTATCCACAAAGGTCTCCAGACCATACCTGAGAGTGGGTAACACTGAGATAACTCAGGATTAGGACCACCCAAGTCAATAAATACCCACTACCCAGGACTGCAACCCAATATCCAAGTAGTGAAGACATACCACTGCTAATTTTTCTATTGGTCATGCTTGGTAATGAAAACTCCAATACAAATAGTGGACACGGAGTTATGTGAGATTCCTGGTTGGTGAAAGACATCACTGAACCAGGAAGGTATTGTGTCCCTATGAACACTAAAAGCTCCATATTTGGGAACTTCTTAGACAACACTTTAGGCATCCATCTTTACGCTGTTCATTATTTAAATCCTTCTTTATGAAACTGTAAGTATAATGGGATCTTGACTTTTGTGAGTTCTTTTAGCAAATTATAGAGTCTAAGAGGGGAATGGGAATCCTCCATTTATAGCTAGCTGCTCAGAACTGCAAGTTGTTCAAGGAACATCAAATTTGCATCTGCTATCTAAAGTCTTCAAATGATCTGGTACTCTGGAGTACAATGCCTTTAGTGTACAAAGTTCAGTATTAACTCTGGGTAGAGCCAGAAGAAAGATATTACAATTAGTACCAGAATAGAACTGGACTAATAAATAGAATATTATCCAAAATATTCATGAAGACATATTAATACTATCCAATTCTACGTTTCAGAGTGATCCATAATAAATGTATTCAAAAAACAAAACAAAAAACAAAAAAGTTATTATATCCATGTCATAAATAATGTTGAGGCAAAAACAGGGCCTAGAGGAAGAACACATCTTACTTAGCTCTTGTAGTCTTCTTAAATACATTCTATCCTCCTGGGCTTCTTGACCTTGAAGGCAAAAGCGCAACGTCGATTTCTCCATTGCAAACCAGCCTTTTCTCCACTGATCCAGGGCATGGCAGTCTTTGTAGTAGAGTTGACCAACCAAATCATAGTCAGCTTCTGTCAAGTTTTCAGCAACAAAGGGAACAAAATGCTGTTAAAACAAATACAGAAAGGTAATAAAGACAGTGAAGGTAGGCACAATGTCTTTCTTTTTAATGCTTATGAGGTTAGGCAATTAATTCCTTTAAATCTATTTTTTTTATTTTTTCCTTTAAATATATTTTAAACATTCATAAATAAATGAAAATTTCAAATCTATTATCTAAAATTTCTATTTTAACAGTCATAATGTATGTTCCAATGATGGCCCCGGGGATTTTTCTTACTCTTTCCTCCCAGGTAATTTATAGCCTCTGAAAACCCACTGGAGAGTCTGCTATGAGTTGGTTCCAACTTGACAGCATGTAATAGCTGTGTGTGTGTGTGTGCGTGTGCGTGTGTGAGACAGTATGTGAATGTGCTTAAGTATATACATGCATATATAAACGTGTGTCCATAAGACACACACAGACATTGCGAGGGGGTGCAAATAGGAAGGTATTATTTGCTGATTTGTGGAATTTCTTCTAATTGTCAGCTTTCAACATTATTTCTCTTATAAATTATCTTCCTATTAAAAAAAAGACATACACAGAAATTACTACCATATTGAAAAGATCTTAACCAGCAAAGTATGTTCTTTATTCAAAGAAAGATTCCTCTACTGTCCTATATTAATTGTGTCTCTGCTAAAGGATCTAGTGAGGTAGCTCTGAAATTCTTTCTGGAGCTCTACTAAACTCTTTTAATGATCTTTGAAGGTCTAATGAAATATAGACCAGAGCACTGTATAATATTTTCATAAAACTCTCCGCTTTTTTTATGTACGCTATGTTAAAAATGTTCTCTGAATTTAGGATGTTGTGGTCAACATCTCGTCAAGTATGACACACAGCAGCCCTATGGGACATAGTCAAACTGTTCCACAGCTTCCAAGACTTCTAGACTTCCAAGAGCTTATAGACTGAGGGAGCCCTCATAGTTTACTGGTAAGAATCTATGCTGCCAACCCAAAAGTTTATGGTTTAAATCCACAAGTTGATCTGTGAAAGAAAAATAAGTAATGTCTTCCCATGGGATTTACTGCCGCTAAAAAACCCAGAGTGTCAGCTGTGGGTCAGTTCCAACTCAATGGTAGTCAACAACAATCTAAACTGGGACAGATTACCAAATCTTCTCTCCAGTGAAGTCACTGGTGGGTTTTAATTACCAACTTTTCCATTACCAATGGCATGCAACACCAAGGTTCCCTGGATTTAGAATGCTGCTGCTATGGAACATCAAGTCAGAAACGACTCACTGCTGACCATTCAGCTTGTTTCCAGAGGCAGTAAAATCGTACAGAAGAAGGCTACTAATCTTTCTCATGCGGTGCAAGTTGTGGATGAGAATCATGTGCCTTTATCTTGACAGTGCTCAACTCCTTACCACTAAGACACCAGAGCAACACAGTAGGGAAATACCTTGGCTATGGCCTCTGTCCATTTTCTTTGTGCTTGAGATGTTTCAGCTCCAAAGAAAAACACACGTTCTGAGGGTAAGTAGATCTCAAAAGTAGAGATGGGCCTACATACAGGACACATGAATAAAAGATACCATCAATTAGGCATACTTAGCTCTTATGAAAGGAAATAATGTGAAATTTGAGCTGTTCACTTAATCCCTTAGGAGAATAGGACAATGCAGCAACGTATATATGTAAATCTCCTATATTGTTATGCCGACATCTTGCATTCTGTCTAGTGGGTTGCACAAGAACACAGTGTACAAGACAATGGAACAATCTCTTGATTAATTAAGTCACTCCCATTACCACATGACTGCTGAAGTCCTGATGCTTCATTAGTGCTCTAACATGGGCAGTGACTAAGTTTAGACTTCTCTCTTCCCAGTCTCTCCTTGGTTTACTCTTAATAAATGGCCAATGTAAACAATGTCCAAATAGTTTTCCAATTAGCTCCCTTCCTCATTGTACTTTTTTTTCTTTTCTTTTCTTCATTTTTTAATTAATTTTAAGGAACATTTACAGAGATTCTGTATTTCCTTTCATTCATTGTTGCACTTTTCTCCCTGCCCACCCCACCCCCGAGTTCGCTCCTCTCTTTGAAAAGAAAAAAAGAAAAATTCCTTCATTGGTACACAATCCCCCCCGTTCCACCCCACCATGTCCAGCCCCGAGTACACTTCACTATGCAACCTTCATTCTGGACTCCTGTGATAGCCATAACACCAATCATATATCAACTTTATTCTGTTCTTTCCCTTATCTGTTTCAGCACAGTATTCATAATTTATCCAGTTTTTCTCAGTTTTAACCCAACCCTGATTTCAGTACCATTCTACAACAGGGGCACTACACAGTAATTCCATCATCTTACACTCTTAGATGAATCTCACTGCTCTCGAGAGTCAATTTCAGTTCCCATGCACCTCCATCTGGTCTCAGAGGCTATAAATCCAATCTTATCCTGCACAGCAATATGTGGATTCAAAACACTGAAATTGTGGTTGGCAGCCTAACACGGAATGCAGAAGCCTCAGTGGTATACTTTGTTACCTGTCAGGCTGCCAAGCAAAAATTCAGTGCTTTGAATTCACTGGTCACCCTGCAGATGAAAACTGAGCAGTTGCTTTCATAAAGATTTACAGCCTCAGAAATCACTTGGAGGGTAACTATGAATCAATCACCTCCAAGGATTTATATTAGATGAAAGGGAGTAACATCTTCTGTCCATAATTCTTTCCTGAGTTCCTCGTCCAAAATTCTAAGCATTTCCTAGATTATGTTTCCTATCTATTGTTATAATCTTAAATACTGTATCATGAAACCATCTTCTTTATCTTCCTTTCCTTCTCCAAACTCACTATATCTTTTTCATGTTCTCATTTTAAAGCAATATCATTTACCTAATCGAGTCATTTAAAATCTTGGGGGGTTATTTATTCTTTCCCTTTAATTTTTTTTTTTTATTCAGGCTATCCTTTAATATTCATACCTGGATTTCACCGGATGGCATGCATAGGAATCAGATCGATTACATATGTGGAAA